CCTCTCTTCCAGCTTTGCTGGTTGTACGTCCCCTCTCTTTCAGCTTTGCTGGTTGTACCTCCCTTCTCTTCCAGTTTGATGGTTGTACGTCCTCCCTCTTCCAGCTTTGCTGGTTGTACGTCCCCTCTCTTCCAGCTTTGCTGGTTGTACGTCCCCTCTCTTCCAGCTTTGCTGGTTGTACGTCCCCTCTCTTCTAGCTTTGCTGGTTGTGCACAAACGGCTCTTCTGTCCCCTGGTTTTTCAGGAGTTCAATCATCTTCCAGCTTCCCACTGTGCTGGCTATACACACACGTTTCTTTCCTTCCACGCATTCGGCAGAAACCGACGGTAGAGCTGAGGAAACCGCTAACGGTGACGTGCTACATCTGCGGCCGCGAGTTCGGCGTACACTCGATCCACATCCACGAGCCGCAGTGCATGCAGAAGTGGCACCGCGAGAACAACAAGCTGCCCGCCAGCCAGCGGCGGCCCGAGCCGAAGCGACCCGAGGTCGACCCGGAGCAGGCCGGTAGGTGGCGCCACCCGTGGGCTCATTAGTAGCTGTCTCGGGTGTTTTTTTTCTGTTAAAAAAAACAACTTTAGCGTCAGCTCTTTTTTTCCTCTGGCGCTTTGGACGTGATGGAGAGGAAGGAAGGCAAAAAACAGGCGATGGTAAAGTTGTTTTTTTACAATTACGTTTTGTGTCTTTCATCCTGGTCTGTCATGTTTTGCTTTTTTATGTTGTGTTTCCTTATGTGTATTTCTTATGTATGTTTTTCTCTTTTAAATATGTATTTTTTGCATTGTGTCGCGTTGTCATTCAGTCGCATGTTTTTATCACTAGACTGGTTCTTCCTCATTGTAATTGATGTGGGACATGTGAGTGAAACGACTTAGGGCCTTTCTAAATAAACTGTCAGTTCACAAACGTTTGGTTAAATACTGCTTGGGACAAATTTCGCAGAAAAATAAGTGTTTACTTAAGTGCAGGAACATTGACATAAATTAAAACTGAAAAGTTTACTTTATTAGTGCTGGTGATTCAGATTATTGGCTCTATATTACCACATTTTTTCATAATTTTTACTGTTATAGGCTGTCAGAATAACAATAATTATTAAATAGCTCTTGTACTCAGATTTTAAGGTTTACGTTGTTTTATTTAGATACACCGTTGTTCAGTGTAACATACTCGCTGTGAAATATTGCTGGTATATAAGTATCTTTATCCTCGCAACCGTGAAAATTACCCTGAAGCAATTCTATGAATGTCAGTTTGGTCCATTTTATGGTCCATTTTATGGTCCATTCCATGGTCCATGACTGCAGCATAACGTGCTTCAATGAATTCGAGAAAGTCTGTCAGCCTCAGCCGATTAAGATATTCATGTTGGTACAGTCTGCAGACTGTTAATTAATTATTTACCGTCTCTCGTAAAGAATACAGCCAGTGGAACAGTCAGCACCATGTGAGAAGCCGCACACCTAGAACCTACCATCTTCCCCTCCTTTCTTGCCCCGCATGGCCAAGTGTGTTATTTGGCACGTTTGTCATGTCATAGTAATTAACACCTGGATCAGTCGTGACAGAACGGACAGGGGTTATTCGTCTTTCTCATTATTGGTCTGAAGACTACTACTTGAGAGATCGCTTGTCCTCGTAACTTGTCCCCCTTTCCTTCTGGTTCCTCTTATTTTTACCGAATACTGGTATACGTAGCACGGTGTTACGCACGTTACTGCGTGTACGCGCAGATGCATGAACGCGCTCGTGAGCATTGTATGCAACTAGGGGCAATTAGACTAATTAAGTTAAGAATAATTTAATTTAATGCGATGTCGAGATGCTCATGGGTTTCAGAGAATCAGAGGGGGCATACCCGTTGTTTTTATCAGGGGATATAACGTGCTATCCCCGACTGCCAGGTAACACACAGTACTGGCCAGTGCCAGGCCAGTTCTGACTCAGCCACACTGAGACTATAATATACTCTAGTAGCGTGTCTGGCCTGTATAGACCATACTCTATCTCCCAAACGATTGTATAGTCTGCTAAGACCACTAGACCGCCCTAGAATCGTTTGGCTACATACCAATAGACGTAAATCAGTGGCATGGGTGCTTGTACGAGTGCTATATAGTTATGCCCGTCATTCCAGTTCCTCTCTCTCCCCGGTATCCGACTCTTGGCTAGGAAGTATGAATATTTCACGGGACAAGCCTGAAATGAGCACGTTAGTGATCATACTGCCTTGTTACTAGGCGATGCTCGTTAATTGCTTTCATGCACACTCCACATAGACCAACTCTGTGGGCACTACCACACCCATGACCACACCACACTACTTAGTGTATACTGACATTCATATTTGCTGGCTTTGCTTTTTGTGGATTGTGTGTCTGTTGCTTTTTGATCTAACTAAAAAGTCGTGTCATTTAAAAAATGATAGAACCCGCATTTAATTTATACTTCCATCGCTAGCTAAATTAATTCAAACACAAAGGCAAGGCTACTGTACCACACTGGTCCACAGCTTGCGCGAATCGCACGCGGG